GGGAGTGGATTGAAGCTGGATGGTCATTGAAATATCGAACACGTAGTAGAAGGTGCCGGAAACTTTTAAAAAATTACAAAATCACTTGATAATCCAAACATATCTTTATTATTTGTGGATTATCCAATGCAGGACACATCACAATGGGAACAATCAGCACCCAACAAGTTTTTAATAAACGACGTATTACATTTTTAATAATTATTAGAAGCAACCAAGCAAGAGACGTCCTTTAGGTAGCAAGCGTAGGCAGCAAGAAAGACTGCGTAATGGTTGCAGTAGTATTTATAATCTCAGAGCGCTTTGTTTTAATCCTGCACAGCGATTGAGGCAAGAGTTTTCGTAATGCAGTTACTACAGAGAAGGCGCAGACGCTTTGAAGGGATTGTACTTTCTATGAATTGAAAATTAGTAAAAGAAATTAAATTGAAAATTAGTAAACGTTTCTATCTAATTGAAAATTAGTAAACGTCTATTGCCAATTTGTTCCAATTAAGTTAACTGTGTTAATAAATTTCTGTCATATTTCCGTCATCACGCAGTTTCATTTGTAGGATTATTGTGCACATTATCTATATATTACGAAAGATGTAACAATTAATTAAGGTCAGTACTTATGCATCTAAAATAAAAAATATGTAAATCAAAATTATAATTTTGATTTACATATTTTTATCTTGCATATTAATTTAGGCTCTTAAAATAACTACGTCGTTAGTGTTACGCAAGCTTTATGGCATAGATTAATCTAGAAATGATGCAATCCAGATGAGTTATTACGATTTTTGGAATAGAGAGGGAGAATTAAAAGGTTGCCCCGTTAATTTAAATTATAATTTTGATTTATATATTTTTATCTTGATATTTTTCTGATATATTTACATATTTTGATATTTTTCTATATATTATATATTATTATTATTTCTTATATATTATTCTTGGTATTTTCTTAGATATTTATGAATTTGATTTACATATTTTATATTTTTTATGCATACATATATTTTTACTTATTTTTATACAAAATTAAATTCATTGAATGTAACTGCACTTTGAAATGTTATTGCGCTACATTAATTTAAAAATAGTTTTACTTCCATTATTTTTCATTTGAAATAACTGCCACTTTATCCACATTTTCAGTTATCCGAAATAATATCCGTTTTTATTTATCCGGATAACTAAGGATATTTCAATATTCTGGATTATCCAGATATTTCGATAGCAAAATTTCATTGCGGTTCTCCGTCAAAAAATTTTCATATACATAACCGGCCAAATAGCCATATATTAATGTAAAGAAACGATGAAATTGAAATAGATATTGAAAAAAGGTATTAGTTCTAGCTCAGTTCTGAATAAATTTATGATTAGCAAAACTGAGATAAAAATGGAAAACCCTATACTTCATAACTACAGTTAAAATTTCTCTTTTTCAATATTGTGGTTATAAATGGCAGAACGTATAGACCGGATTTTAAACATGAAAACTCAGACTAAATCACGATTATTGAATTCAGATTTTAGCTTTAGTTTTTGCGGCAGCTGAAAGTAATTAGTAAATTGTTTATACCTTCTCATGATCGTAGTAACTCATTTTTAACGTCTGTAAGCAGTTTATCGAATATCTGGAAATTAAGCAAAACTTTTTGCGTGCTTTCGGAAATTCGAATCGTTCTTTACAGTCATTAATTTTACAAAAATTATTGAAGCGTTATGCACTTTTAAATGCACTCAGTTTGCATCTGCCGTTGCAAGAGGTTCCTTCTATATTTCCAAAGAAAGCAGTACTTGCTTTTAGAACTTGTACTTTTAAAAGGTAAGAAATTCGTTTGTGATATTTTCGTTGATGAAAATTTACTTCATGTAATTTCTTTAGTATACAAGAATATAATCCAGATGATTTTGCTGCTATGTAATTAATATTGCAAATGAAAATATTTTAGGGATAATATTTTATTTTTGTGCTGCAATATTTAACTCTATCTCAAAAACTAAGCAATAATTTAATAATTACCAAATTTTTGGAAGCTAGGTAGATCTTGATGGAGGAAAAAATTTATAGAAAAAAAAAATCTGAAAGGTTTCAGACTTTAACGATAGCCAAAAGGGTTTGTTAAGGTTTTTTTACGCTCTCGCTAAGCTCTCAGTCTACAAGTCTACCGTTACACTCACGCCTACTAACCCATTTCCTTTTTGTCTTTTTAGCTTTATTTTTAAGCATCATTTTCTTCGTACTTACGCCCGCCATACGCAATTCAACAACAAAACTACAAAAATTTTAAAAGCAGCTTAACATTATATGTTTATAATTCGCGATGCAGCGTTTCGTTCAACATATCAATGTTCAGTTTTCTTACTAAGATGGTGTTATAAAAGTTTTTTTTGGCCTTTTTATTACTTACGTTTTGTATATTTATTAAATACCACTTTTTTTCGCTTACGCGACGTAAAATTCCATTGAACAGCAAAATCACAAAATATTTAAAAACAGCATATCTTCAGAAATTCCTCGCTGGAGGTAAAAATGTTTTTTTTTTTTTTTTTTTTTTTTTTTTTGTGGCAGTGTTGCCACTACTCGCTTTGAAATTGTTCAGTCTTTTAACCAAAAATTCGTTAAAGCTTTACAAAATATGAAATTAATAAAACAAATTCAAAATTCAGGCTTCCAGGTGCCCATATTAGAGAAGAGGACTACTTTATTCAAAATTTGATGCCTCTAGGTAACGTTGTTTTTTCACAGTGCGAGAAACATGCATACATTCATGCAGATTCTTCATTATTTAATTTTTTAAATACAGTGACGGGAGATAATATTTGGTGGCAACGATTTGAAAAGTGGCTTATGGTTAAATACCGTTGCGGGACTAATATCCCATTCTGAACTAACGTCTCTTTTGAGTTAATTATTTTAATTATTTAATAATTTTAATATTTTATACTTGATTTGGTGAAAATGAAACTAAAAAAAATCTAAAAGCTTTCAGATTTTATATTACGCTCAAAGGAGCGTTTTGTTTCGTTTACACACACATCCATATTTCGAGAGCATTTGGGCTCATGTCCCTTTGGGCTAAAATATTTAAAAGCTGCATATCTTTAAAATTTCCGATAAACAGTCTCGCGCGCTGGAGTTAAAAGCGTTTTCTTGAATACAGTGTTGATATTGTCGCTTTGAAATCGTTGAGTTTGTTTATCAAAAATTCGTTATAAAGTTTTAAAAAACTGTAAGGATTATGTTAATTTTATTAACTGTTAAATTTTAAGTTAAAGTTCGTTTCCTGTCAAATTCTTAACTTCAACTTACTACTTCCGGCCAGAACGTAATTTTGGAATCATTCTGAATACTTAATGAGGAGGAGCGGTATTTAAACCGCGAAGTCTACTTGCAGAGTTAGAGAGAATCAGAGTTTCTGATTTGCGCGCGTCTGCCTTTTGGCTACTTTCTCTCTCAAAGCTGTTATTAAGCTCGGCCGTACTCAGGCCCTTGATAAGCTTCGTAGTCAAATAGAATTAAGGGGCCAACTCGTTTAGAATCTTGATAGCTTGGCCTATATTTCTTTAGTTAATCTTAGTTTTAGTTTATTTCTTAGTCTCTTAAGTTCAAGGCCCAAGTGTCGGCTTTTATTGTATACTCCAAGACTGAGTTTTGTTAACTCTTATTGAAATAATAAAGGGTTAGTTACCTTACCCTTCCTTCTTGTTGTTTCGTGTTACACGAACTTTAGAGAGTATTCGCTAACTGGTTCTTAAGATTCGTCACTTTCTACAGTAACTGAGAATTACACTAGTGAGAGTCTTACAAAAAATAAAATAGATAATAAAACAAATTCGAAATTCGGGCTTCCAAGGGCCCATATTCGGCTAGAGGTCTACATTTATTCAAAATTTGATGGCTCTAGGTACCATTGTTTTTCACTATGCGGGGAAACATGCATACATTTCATGGAGATTTTCCATTATTTAATTTCTTTAAATGTAATGCAGAGCTATAATATTTGTTGTCAACAATTTCAAAAGTGTTTCAAAGCAAAATATAGTTTATACATGATTTGAAGAAAATGAAAATAAAAAAGGAATAAAGAACTAAATTAATAAAGTTAAAGTAAAATTAATCTTTCTTGGAAATCAAGGTGTATATTGGCAGATAAAAAAATAATATTTGTACTATATTTGATTGCTTTGATACATTAAAAATTCTATTTCATTATATAAATAAATGTAACCACACCCAAATAGCAGCTTATCAAATTCATAAAAATATGAGTAAAATTTTCTACTAATATTAATGTGTTCTTTTGCAATTAATAAGACAATTATTTTGGCCATTTATTACATATATTTGCCTTTTCTGTAAAGTTAAAAGCATTTGAAGTGACATTAAAATAGGGGATAATAATTAATAATGTTGATAACATTTTATGTGACTTTTAAGCTTTGAAATTAATAATATGATCAAAACTTTTTATTTACTTCATTTAGTTTTTTCGGTCTAACGGCCTTTTGGGCTAATTATTTTAACTCCTCATTTTAATTTTCTTTTAAATTTTGTTTTTAGCCGATGATTATAAGTAGTTTACTTTTCATTTTCATCTTTTTTCTTAAAGTTGCTTTTAAATTTCGTTCTTGTAAGCGAAGATTTTTTTAAGGATGCTATTAAGTAATTATTTTTGTTTACCATAAAGTTTCCTATCTAAATTTTCGTATCTATCTTAATTTATAAATGCACCTAATATAGACTCTGACTATCTTTCATATATAATTCTGCATAAAATAATCTGAATCATTAAATAATCTGAATTATTCTCTGACCCTTAAAAGAAAATTACATAGCATTTCGGAATATTTAATTTCCAAAAGATGGTTATTTAGCTTTATCATATAACATATAAATTTAATTATTTAGTAAATATAGTTATTTAGCTTTAATAATGGTTATCATCGCATGAATCATGTTATTTATCTTTTGTTCTATATTTAGGAAATTTTAGATTATGGAAATGACAGATGAATCTCAGAATCACACAGTTCATCCGGAAAGCTTGAATTTGAGAAAAAACAAGAAAACTCCAGCTGCCTACTATAAAGAACTTCATAAAGCACGTAAGTTTCATTGTTATTCTGTTAACAGAAATTATTCCTCAGTAAAAGATTTGCACAGAAATAATTAATTATATAAAAAGAAAATTTCTTCAGTGACACAGATGAATAAGTTACTTATAAATGCAGCTAACAGGTTTCGTGTTCTGAATGAACCAAAAAACTAGAAATTCCAAATTCCGAAACTGAACAATACAGTACACCATATAACATGCTACATTTAGTTTAAGACTAATGCCAATCTGATTTCTAGCTAAAAAATTCTGCATAACTATTTTCAGTAATGAAGACGAAATTCCATTTAAGCCGATTGGCTTTTGATCTGTAAGTGGTTGGGTTAAGTAGCTAATGTATATTAAGCACAAATATATATCTCTAAAATTACACTACTAGGGAAGTAGGAAGATGAGTATGAGAAAGCTATTAATATTCAGCTTTCATTGATGATTTTATAAATATATATATATGAAATATACTAAGTGCCGCAGTCATGAGTCCTGTACTTTTAACTTCTGGCTGTAGATATGGCTGGGTGGATAAGGCAGGAATAAGATGTTGACAAAACCAATTTCGGCGAATCACCATCTTTATTTTTAGGCACATCAAAAATTATTTCTTTGGCAAACAAATTACTTTTCGATCATAGTTGAATAAAAATAATTTTTATATACACAGATAAAAAGCTACGACATCATTTCAGCATAAGCGGCGTGGAGTTGTTTTCATAGTAGAAGTCAGACTAGTGCTCGTGACTCAGTATTTATAGTTCCTAGGGGCAGAGAGTATTCTAAGCTATGATTGGTCAATATTAGCTTTAGTTATCTTTTTCAAGCGGTGTTATGTAATCTGGAATGATCTCGAATTTGGGAGAACTGATGAATTTAGGGGGGGAGAGCACCAAATTTAGAACGTTAATTTTGAGGTCACCAATTATTTTTTAAAGCAGCCATCATATTTTGTTGTATCTTACACACACACACACACACATATATATATATATATAAATTACTTGATTCATGAGGAAATTAATCTGGTTTTCTCTGATTTTATATATACATGTAATTGAAATAAATTACAACTTATCCAGTAAATTTTGTAGTACAAAAACATAATACTGTTTTCAATTCAAATTTCTGACTAAATAAAAAATATTGTTTTTAATCAGTTAATTAGAACAAAAAATATTTGTATAGAAGTTTCTTAAATAAATACATGAAGAAATTGTTCTGCTAACAGAAACTTTAACAAATAATTAAGATTCCAAAATCGTCTGTTAATCATTTTCTAAAAAATGCTGACATCGTCTACAAACTTTAAATGTTAAGTTACAGTACGAAGCCGCATTTTAAACCGCAAGGATGATAGTGACGGATAAGTAAAAAATATTTATAATGTGTAAATTTAGTAAAATAATTTATTTATAAATTATTTTTCAAGCTCTATCCATTAACTAACAAAACTATTGTCTCTTCTGTGAGACATTTTAGCCAGTTGTATGAAGGATATATTACTATTACTATTAGTATTTAGGATATACTCATTTACTATTCATTCTTTTTTCATTTTTCTTGCTTTATAGCCAGAAATTGATTTTTCATTTTTCGACGGTGTGTAAAATTAATTCCCGAATAGCAACAACTTCTTTCGCCAAAACTTATTCGAATTCTGAATTAGCCAAATCACTAGAAAACTTAAATCCTGAAATTGAACAACACAGCAGTACACCATATGAGTGAATTCCATGCCAAGGCGCGGAATTTGGCTGCCACTAGTAACCTTGCTATGAATTCCATTGGCCAAACTCAGCAACAGCTTTCCGCACTAACGGTCTTTTGACAGACATAAGCAACACTGCCGTATTTAAAAAAATTTTCTGACCTTCTGTAATTTGTAAAAAAAAAAATATTTTATATTATAAGATATTTTCTCCCTCCTTACCATTTTCATTCGATTTCCACAGTGCATTTTCTCTCTCTTTAATTTTCGATGATAAGTAACAGCTGTACGTAACAGCAGCATCATACGATTTTTTTTTAATTCTAAAACTAGAGTTTTATTGGTGAGGGATTTACTTAAGGCCAGATGTCATATATACTAGTACCAATTATAAGAAATTATAACATTACGTATTATCCATCTGTCTTTCTCGACTAGAGACGGATAAAATTGAGAAAGAAACAGTCAGATAAATTTCTTTTTCGAATAAAATTAACATTTTCGAAAGTGATGGATAAATTGTTGCTCACATCTAATATTTAATTATTTAATAACATTTATTATCATAAACGATGTGTAGAGGAACCATTTTCAAGCATACACCCTTCATTTCAGAAAACAAATAGCCTTCAACAATTATTTCTAAAGAGATTGTAATTTGTAAATAAAATTTTTGTTTTTAAATATGTTAAGTGAAAGATTCTCACATACTTACTTTTTCGATAAAGGATATTATTCTCATTTTATAAATAATTTAAGCTTTCTTGACAAAATATTAAATCATTATTTTCTGCAGAATCTCCTTTCTTGCCTTCAAATCTCAATGTAACATGGATTCAGAAATGGAATGATTATCTCTCAACCGCTAATTCATCTCTATCTCCCTACTATTTACAACGATCATCTTCTCTTCTTGGTTCAGTTCATAGGAATCCATCCTTTTTATGGCCAATATGTACGAACCATTTGGTTAGAAATAAGTCGAATTGTACCAACAGCTTGAAATCCCAGCATTGTGGAGGTAAGTATTATTTTTATACTCAGTTTTATTCTGGAATAAAATTGCTTTTCAAATTCCGTTGCGTTTTGCAAAATAATGTGTGGATATTTAATTCCTTGTATTTAAATTATTCGAAACCCCTGTCAAAAATTTTAAATTTACTAACTTTTAACTGTTTGTTTCTAATATTTTATTGATTTAAATTTTTAAAAAATGAAACTAATACACACGGTTTAAAGAGGTTAATTAATTTAGATGAATGATTTCAACATGCAGATTGGCAAACAGTGTTTAAACAACAGTTACCCTATAAATATTTAAAAATTAGAAATTACATATTCTTTATAGGCTTAATGCTCTTTCTTTAATTTTATGGGCAAAGTAAATAAAAGGATTAATTCTATTGTTTAATTTTAGTTTAAATAGAAATGACTGTATATGTAGGCGAAATTTTTAAGGAAAACAAAAATATGTTTTTACATTTTATTGAGTATTGCATTAATTAAGTATTGCATAATCTGTGTCCAAGAAAAATCCATTAACGGAAAGTTAAATTTTCTCGCTGACTTTTCACAAAATGTGTATTTTAGTCTACAGATTAAATACACATTTTCATATGACTATCAAATTATTCGCATTTTTTTTTCAGTCGGTTAGCTTGGCTGTAGTCGCAGGTGGCTTGGATATTTGGAGTTCTACTGAACTATTTTTATATAAAAAGTAAAAATTAAAAGATATTAAGTTTCCTGTTAGAGGACAGAAATAAAAAAGAGAGCTGTGTATAATGTTATACAATCCGTAACACAACAAAACGAATTGGCTGCAGGCTTTATTTCCTTAAATACTGATTTTTCTAAATAAGGTATAAAATTTTATACGATTGTTTTAATGTATTACATAGAAGAGATTTTAATTATAAAGTATCTTTATGTAATCATTGCAGCTTTAAAAATTTTTAGAGAGAAAATTATAATCAGCAAAATATTCACTAAAATTTTAAAATTTAAATATAAATCATCTTAGCTTTTCCTGTTTACACAATTTTTACTTACAGTTATCTCTCTTTATTATTGCAGGTATTTTTATCATTGTGGTATATTTTGGTGGGTGATGCTCTACATGTGAAACATAATTTTATTGGGTTAGTCACATGGATTGTGGAAGAAGAAAGAATAATTGCAATTTATTGGATTATGTAAAGCTCATTATGCTTTTAAGACAATAAAATACAAATTTTATCTAGTATCTATTGCGCCATTTAAGTAGCTCCGTAAAAGTTGCGGTTAATGTCATACGCAAGTATTATATAGACTTATTTAGGAAAGCTGACTTCTCGTTAATATCATACTCATTATAGTATTTTAGCTTCTATTAAATCAAAAGAATGTATAAAAGTTTTCTCATTCCAAAATTGGGGCTATTTTAATCGTTTTCAAAAATGAGCATCACATAAAATATCATCGCAGAACATAAAACTGCCATCGTAAATAGAACCAAAGTTAGGCGACACACCTTTTCAAACGCGTTTGTTCATCATAAATTCGCGCGAGGTATTCATTTTTATTCGCGTCATTTCAGTCACCAATTCATTTGGGAAATAATAATTTCTTAACAAACAAGAAATAGCTTTAATCTGAAAGATTAAATCGTTACCATAATTTCCTCTGCCCAAAATAGACAACTTAGGAAGAAATAATAAATTTGGATTGAAAATGAATTAAGAGTGCACATTCCAGTAAAACCCTTTTTCGGAAAAAATTATTTCTGTCAAATCTATTTATAGTCTTCTGGCACAAGTTGCACAAAAGATGTTCGAATCGATTAGGACTCTCTCTCCTAAAGGTTAAATGTTAGCAGGAGTAATCAGTTAAGTGCTGCATAGCTCGCACCAACTATTCACAACATTGAATACAATAATTAAAGGAGCTCTAGAGAAATACTGGCTATTTCCAGCATAACTAGACATTACGATAACCCATTACTATGCAAGGAACTAATGAGTTGGTGCCGATTTAATTACCAGGAACGAAAACACTATTTCTGCACGTAACTTCATCCTTCAAAGTGATACTCGTATTATAAAAATGAAAAATGCTTTTAGTCTAAACAGACTAATACTAGTAAGCACTGAAAATATTTATTACGGATTATTTGTAATCAGATGATAGTTTATTACTTCAGAGAAAGAATAGAAATTGAAACAATCTCAAATAAATTTACAATTACCAATTAATTTAGTATTTTTTAATTATAATACAATGTCCATCAAGAAGTGTTCTGTAGAAAAAAATGGGAATTGAATTGTTCTGTAGAAAGAAATGGTAGAAAGTTGCCTATTGATCACCACTAAATCAAATATATTTTTGTTGTATCTTGCAACAGCGTTGTTGATTTTCAAAGTATTTCAATAAAACGTGTTATCAATAAAGTATTATTAATAAAAGTGTATCAGTCAGTTAATCGGTGTTGCGTGCGAACGGGATCATGATGGATGTACACAAAACCAATGACAGCTTGATGAAAATTATTTATGCAAAAGAAACACTTTACATTTCTAGAACTTTCCACAAAAGCCTTTGCACAGCTCTTCTGAGTAGGACAGAGCACAATCATTAATTACCACTTCAAATTCGAACCCAAAACGAACTACCAGTGTTGAGCGATTTTACAGATCGGCCTCTGGTGAGTTGTTTGTCAGTTTCCTTATAGCTCTGAAAAACAGTTATTAAAGTCAAATTGCATTCTTCAGAATTTGCAATAAAAATTTGAAAAAATGTCAAATTATTACCTGCTTTTACACAAGCTTTTGTAGAAGGTAGATTATCCTTCTTCCTGTCAGCTTTTCATTCAATTGAAGAAAAACCACATATGGAAGGATTCAATACATTAAGCATATTTACATTGTTTTAAAAATCTTTTAACGATGAGATAGTTGAGTTTTCTCCTACTTCACGAACAAAGCATTATTAAAATCTTATTCGGTACTCTTCTGTTATCGGGACCGGATTTAGAAATGTATGTATATATGCATGTGTGTATGGATGCATGTGATCACGTATGCATGTATATTCAAGTATGCGTGTATGTTGCGTATGTATGTTTATATACACACATATATACGCACATACATACATATATATGGACAGATACATACATGCACACGTGCATATATTTCAGAATGTGGTCCCCATAACAGAAGCGTACCTCTTATTCTTTAATCGAAAGATAAGAAAGTTAGTACCAGGAATTGGCATAATGTAATTAAAGCTTGTTATATTTAAAAAAATGTTTTGAAAAATCAGACAGTATCTTCTTCAGTTCACCATAATTCTACAAACATTAATGTCGTGCTTAACATTTTTCCATTGTGAGGGTTTGGGGTGTAAGGATTATGTTAATTTTATTAACAGTTAAATTTTAAGTTAAAGTTACTTTCCTTTCAAATTCTTAACTTCAACTTACTACTTCCGGCCAGAACGTAGTTTTGGAATCACTCCGACTACTTAACGAGGAGGCGCGGTATTTAAACCACGAAGTTCTTGCTGAGTGCGCTCAGCCGTACTCAGGCCCTTGATAAGTTTCGTAGTCAAATAGAGTTAAGGGACCAATTCGATTAGAATCTTCATAGCTTCGGTCTATATCTCTTTAGTTAATCTTAGTTTTTAGTTTATTTCTTAGTCTCTTAAGTTCAAGCCCAACTGTCGGCTTTATTGTACACTCCAAGACTGAGTTTTGTTAAATCTTATTGGAATAATAAAGGGTTAGTTACCCTTCCATCTTGTTGTTTCTTGTTACACGAACTTAAGCGATTATTCGCTAACTTAAGGTTACTCAATTTTGAGTGCAATTACACAGTGATAAACCTCACAGGGGATCCGTAAATCCTCATGTCACAAGTTGAAGAGGAAAGTGGAAGCCCGAAAGAGAATATTTCGTGTGAAATTCTTTACGGCGAGATTTTAGGACCATTTTCCTCCCATAAACAAATAATAACAGCCGCAGTTTACCCTGAAGCATTGATTAATTACATTTGCCCACATTTGGAAGACCATCAGCCAGAGGTCCTTTTTCAGAAGGATGGCTTGCCACCACTCTGGTTAACGTGTTTTCTCAGCAGAACCTTCTCGAACATATGGATAGGAAAGAATGAACCTATTCCATAACCAGCACATTGGCCTGACATAACACATTTGTACTTCTTTCTGTGGGCTATGTTAAAGATACTGATTACCGTTTCAAAGTGCCAAACATGTCAGACCATAAGACCAGAATCAGCAATGCCATGGCAACTGTTGGTCACGCTACCGTACATAGACAGAATTGGAATATCTTATATTTTGCGCTCAACTATGGTATACATGTGAAGGTTGTGTAACTTGTGTCACTTGTCATAAAAATTTCAAACCTTGCTCGTAACAATGTGGCCAGTACTAAAAATATAAGTTATTTCATTTCCAAATAGCAAGCTGTTAAATCTGCTCAGAGACTTTGTGGACAACCTTCATTTATTTTTCTTTTTAGCAATTCTAACAAATCTCAATTTATTAAGCTGATACAGTATGAAATATTAATTGCCCAATACATGGAGATACTAGTCATATGAAAGTAATTCTATGCGTAAGATGTAAAGTATACTGTTGATTTTAATCCTAGTTTTCCATTTTACATCATTAGTTTTTGCTTCCTTTTTGTAGGCTGAGTTTTTTCTTTCATATATTTACTAAGTTATTATCAATTTCTACATAGTATGCGCATTCCAAAAGTCTACAAACAACATATAAGGACTTATTTTATTCTTCTGTTTATAGAAGTATCAGAAAGTTTTAACTAATGAAAGAATAAAAAATAATGATGACAACTATTTTTAATTAGAGATGATGGAATTCTAAATAATTCACAAAAAAAAAAGTCTGAAAGTTTTCAAATTTTATATTACGCCCAAATGGCCTTTTTTCTCATTTACACATACATATACACGTTTCGAAAGCAGTTGGACTGGACTGAAAGTATTTAAAAACAGCTTATTTTTAGAATTTCTGATCGACAGTATTGCGCGCTGAAGATAATTTTTCCACCACTGCTCCTTTTCAAAACTCCTTTTTTAACGATTTCAATCGTTAAAGCGGATTATTCCAACAGGGATAGTGGTTAGAGACGCTGGCCCGCTTTCAAATACCGGAAAAAGCATGGATGTTTGTAAATGTATCTATGTGGCATGGGGCACTCTAAATATGTGGCGAGCCGAAAGTCCTCCGAAGAAGTTGGTGGTAGGGAAAGAGCTGGTAATAAAAGACCCTCGTGCCCGTCCCCTGGGGTGCTCTCCATCAAAATTGGGGTCGGAACTGAGCAAAGTCGTACTATCACGATGAGTTTCGTGGGCATATTCTCATGTGGACAAATGAGATAAGTCATAACAGCAACAATAAATATAATAATACAGGTGATAACATTTGGTGGCAACAGTTTGAAAAGTGACAAAATGCTTTTAGTGGCACGACACAAAATGCCATTTCGAGACTATAACGAAGACACCTAGAATTTAATTTAAAACGGCTTGTCTAGTTTTCAGTCCAAAAAGCCCAGAAGGGCTATTAATTTCGTTTTGGCATTTTGAGTTGATTCACTTTTGAAATTGTTGCCACCAAATATTCCACCCCTGTATTATATTTTTAAAAAATTAAATAGTGAAGAATCTGCATAAATTCAGGTATGTTTCTCGCATTTTGATAAAACAACGGTGCCTAGAGCCATTAAATTTTGAATAACCTAATCCCCTGTCGAATATGGGCATATGGAAACCATAATTTGGAATTTGTTTTATTATCTGTTTCATATTTTGTCAGACATTATAGAATTTTTAAGAAACTCAACCATTTTAAATCGAGAAATGGCAACGCTGTACGAAAAAAAAAAAGCATTTTTATCTCCAGCGCGTGAGACTGTGTATCGGTAATTCTAAAAATATGATCATTTAAAAATTATTTTGCAATATTGCTGTTAAACTGAATTTCATTGTTAAAATGCGAGGATTATTATATTTAATAAATAAAGGTAAAACACAAAACGTTAAAAAAACGCCCCTCGGAAAAAACATCTTTAAACTAAAAACGTTTGGGAATTACGTTCATTCTTTATTTCATTATTGTGTTTTCTAAAGAGGTATAACTTGTAGAAAAACAAGTTCGCGTATAATTGCATTGGCATCTCTCAAAACGCAAGGTTGTTTCAAAAGAAGTGTGCATAGTTTCATATAAAAAAAAGGGCAGTGAATGTTTTCGCGAGGAGACTTGAAGAAGTATGTGCCGATAGACAGCGAGTTTTTTACAACATTTCATGCGACGATGTAGGCAAATCAGCGTATGTCACATGATTCAATAAACACGATGGTTATGTCGGCAGTAGAAAAGGTTTATTTAGTTTGGGTAAAGCTTATTTGGGTGCTGCAACAACTGCAGATTTTATGGAATCAATTATTGTAACATGCGTTCGCACAGGACTTTTGCCTTTGCTGAAATAGCCCATTATCTAAAATTACTTCCACCAGTCGTGGGTTTTTAAAAAATCAGCTTTTAAATTGTACAACGGGTTCCGTTTGGCTCAATTCTAAAGTGCTAAACGCCTTTTAGCCCAAAGTCACATGACGCAAAGTGACAGCTTACTCCAGCATCCAGCATGCTGGGGGAAACTTCACATCTACACGCACTATATACGCCTTAAAATTTCATCGCTGTGTATTTCAAGATGCTTTTTTTATGTAAATTTTTAGATACCAATCAAGAGAAGGCAAACAAACCAAGGTTTCGAAGAAGTAGAACCACGTTTACCGCAGAGCAACTGCACGCCTTAGAGAAAGTCTTCGCTGAAATTCAGTATCCTTCTGTTAGCGTGAGAGAACGTCTTGCAGCTGACATTAAACTGCCAGAAGCTAGAGTTCAGGTATAATTAATTTGAACATAATGGAACATAATGATTGCTCCTAATGCAATATAACAAACAGAGGCTGTTCGCTTATTTTTATACGATTTTCATTGTCTTCACAGAAATATTTTATTTACAATTTTTTAGTTTTAAATGTTCTATTTGATAACCTTATTCTTCAATATCTTTCCATGTCGTAATTTCCAATAAAGCCTCTTGTAGTATCAGAAGAGATACTTTATCCCATTCTACTTGAACAGTTTCCAAGTCCAAGGAGGGCTGTAGTTCAACGTCTGGACAATCCGCTTGTTAAAAGTTCAAAAGCGTAAAAATCCACGAATGATCCATAAAGAGATTAGTAGGGATATCAGTGAAGGGTTGGTCTTGATACCCGTTTCTTGTACCATTGTTCCAGAAAATTAACAGTGGATTTTGACGTGTTGGCTGCTTGCTTTGTCTTGGTGCAGTTCTACTAATTGATGGCCCTGTAGGAAAAGAGAAGCTATTTTATGTTTGGAAACTGGGTATAAAATATGTTCCTGATAATATCTGGTTAGCTGGTATTAACATTTTTCTCTACTCCTTATTTTTAATTTCCATTATATGAAAAACCAACAACAATCAGAAATCCCTTTCAAGACCTTTGTTTAAATTCTTTGAACCATGTTTTAAGATTTTTTCCCTCCTCTTTGATAATATTAAAGGGATCTTTTTTTTTTTTTTTTTTTTTTTTTTTTTTTTTTTTTCAGTCATTTAAATATATCCAAGATTCATCTATTGTGACAACATTTTTCCACTTTTGTCCGGAAAAATTTTCTTATGAAGAGTTCTGCCGCGCGTTCTGCGTTCGGCAGTACGTTGTGGAGAAAGACGATGCAATTTATGTTTTTTCGTCTTTTTGCCATTCATCCCTTTGTTTACAGTTGACACTGAGCATTTTAATGATTTTCCAACTGTCCTTTGACGTCGAGGAGTTTTTTAACATTAAATATCTTACCTTTGCAGCATTCGAAACATTCCGTTTTTTCCTGGTATATGTATTTGAAACAATTTTTCCACGTGAAACCAAACATTGAATTTTTATTCGTATCTTTCGACAATATTGTCTGTTGTAGCTTCAGATATCGAAAACCCATGGCTTTCACAGTGTCTTTTCATAACTACATAGGAGTAATTTTCTCCAGAAAGAGCACAAACATAGACTTCCAACCATTGCTTCTTTGAAAGCGCCATTTCGCATAAACACAAAACTTTCAAGTAGCAGACGATAAATTAGACAAAGTAGCAGACAAAAATATAGCTGCAGTTAAAAAAAACTCTAATCAGGCAGTTTTTTTTTTAGAACAAAGCAAAATAATTTTAAAATATTCAAACAGCCTGTGTAGCAATTGCAAAATGATGATAGTAACGCAAAATGATTACTAATATTACACAAAGTATTATTTACAAAATGATGACTCCCTTTTTTTGTGAAGAAATTTAAAACAAATCAATAATAATAATAATAATAAGTTTATTTAAATATCCCGTAAATAATAATACTTTTCTTTCTAACTGAATCAAGTGTTTTTAAAAAATAATTAATGTGATATTATGTAAGATTTGAAAATTAACCAATTTAAATAATTTTTTGCAAATGTTCGAATTTAAAATATAAGCATCAAATGTTTAATTAGTTAACTGTTCATCTTAAGCCCTTACTGTAATTTCTCGTTCTTTGATTCTTTCAAAGAAAACCTGTATATAAAATTCTGTTTTCTATCATATGTTGCACCAGATAAATAGCGTAACTGTTCGTTATGTAATTAAAAAATCATATTTCAAACTCTTAGATGGCATTTAACTCACCTAACCTTGTTATCTATGATAAACGTCAGGCAAAATAAAAGTTTGGCAACAATTTTAAAATTTCAATAGAAGTCGGTTGCTATATACTATAAACTATAAACTGTATTGTTAAAAGTTTCAAATTCTAAAGTCTTAAAAATCCTCTTTTTAAAAGAAATGCTGAAAGTATGAGACAATGTGTCTTTCTAGAAGCTCGACACGGAATAAGGTACAGATTTTTTCGCTGAAAGTATTTAAAATAAGTTATTTTTAAAACTGTGCTGTGAAGAAAACAATGGGAGAAAATATACTAATTAGTTTCAGTTGCTATTCTTCGATGTTTTAAAATATTTCAAACTGAATTTATAAAGCTCGGCTTAACTTAAATATCGTTTTTCACTAAGTAATTAATGGATACGCTGAATTTCCTTAACACACAAACGTAAAACTCATCTAAACGTATATCAATATCTACTTAGATTTCACAGACTAAGAATTTGAAAAAAAAATCTTCCACTACTACTTTGAGGGTTTAAATTAGCACAAAGTATCAGAGCATAAACAGGTTTGTATTAACATTTACAACTACAGAATTCGTCGCTAAAACTATCTTCATCCTATATACAATCTCTTAAGTAACCAAATAATTTCGCCAAATTTTCCATTAGGGTAACCAGCGATGCATGATTCATGTTCGTAGAATCACAAGCTAAACAAATCCCAATCCCAATCCATGCTCTCTAAGTGCTGTTTGCACTCCCTATTAAACTTCATTTAATGTGGATTCTGGAGAAATTGGATCAGAAAGAAAAGAGAAGAAAAAAGTTAACATAAAAATAACTGCCACTATTAATAATAACCAATCTTTACAATTTATTATTTTTCCTCAAATTTAATAGGTTCAATTTCTTATTTCAGGTCTGGTTTTCCAACCGCAGAGCAAAATGGCGACGCGAGAATCAGATTAAGAAAATCCAGCTTTCTCAAAGAATTGCCCTCGGTCAGATGTCGAATTCGACAACTAGAAAAATGACAACATGCTCTTCAAAGCCATCCGACGTTCTGCAGTCTCAACATTTTCTAGACAATTCTCAACCAATTTGTGAAGTTCTACCAAGAATGTTTTATGTACATCCAATTATGAGTTTGAATTGAGTTGCACTGAATTTTCATGCGTACCTAAGACATTCAGATATTTTTGGAATTTTCGCTATTGTTATTAATGTTCTCAAATTTACAGGTCAACTCAATACACTGACTTTGCAATGACGCTACATTTAATATACTCAATTGTTACACACACTTGCATGAATATATTAAAAAATGACAGATGTTTTCTATTTTCTATGCGCATTAAAAATATAAACAGCGTTTATTCTTTAAAACTTTATTTCCTTCTCTTTTTCCAAAATCCAATCGCTCATTAAATATTGGATTAGTTTACGCTTTTGAACAAAACTTAAAATCCTTAAGATATAAAATATTTAATTCCTGAATGAAATGAACTGTTAAATAAAGCAAAGCTTTCTAGTGAGTAAAAAAAAAATAATTTTTTAAACAAGAAGAGTCTCAAATAGCCCTCCATAACACATAACATTAGAATGTCCTGTTCAAACCATAATGTTTAACGCCTCACCGAGGATATCCTGAACACCTTGATTCTTTTAGATGCCCTGAATATTTTGTAATTTAAGATTCTATAGATGTTTTATGTAAGTCCTTGTGTCTCGGAATATGCGAAGATATCTTGAAGATGTTGATTTTTTGATGTTTTGAGATTCTGTAGGATATGAGTATTGAATTTTCAGGAGGACTTCTATCCTTTCGTCTGACATTTTGAGTATGTTTGTAAGCAGTTCATCTAGCAATTTTAGTTTTTTGATCTGGTAAATTATTCTTTTTTTAATTATTTATATACATTTTGCTTTTTTCTAAGAGTTACTTCCTGAACTCTATTTAGGAATAATATACATAGTGCTCAGCAAAGTTGGATATCACACCGTTGATTTCGAATTCTGAGGAGAAAATTACATTAATAAACATACAGAGTCTATGAGAAATAAGGAATCTAGAAATCTGTCTGTCGGGGTGAAAATACTGTCATGATATCGGTGGTACGTAAGCAGAGAGACAAAATCCTCGGATTCCGTCGCCCTCTTTCCGAGGCATTCTGCATGAAAGCTAAGATTAGTTTTTCGTTTGGTTTGGTTGATTCGATTATGCACTCAACGGCTATCTGCCAAAGAGGAGGAATGCTTTCGTGGAGAACTTGTTAATAGAAACTGGCTCGTATATACATTTCACATGGGAAAAACCACGAAAACGTCCATGCTGCCAGGCCGTCCTCTGAGATTCGAACCACGGACCGAACTACTAGTGTTCGGCGACTTTAACGCTCGGTCACTGGTAGGCCACTAACATGAAGATTAGTATATACTAAGCATATACTTGCCATAATTAAATATCCTAGTCTTGTCTTTTGGATGTAATACATTATTCAATCTCTCTTGCTTCCAAAAAAATCCTAATGTCTCCACAGTGGCACCCGAACTAAAAAAGGGTGGTGGAGGATGAACCTCCACACCCAGGATTTGGCGAATGGGTACCCTAAAACCCCAGTCGCCATTTAAAAGAAAGAGTATATAAGGTATTTCTCCCACCTTCTTGGCATGAGTTCGTGGTGTGGTGGTCTGCACAGTGGGTGCGTATTCCAGAGGTCCGTGGTTCGATTCCCGGCGAAGGCGTTGCATATTTTTCATCTTGCCTGTTTTCAAAAAAATACCTAATGTCTCAAAAAACTCCATTTTGAGTATTCAGCATGTGTTTACATATGAATACACGTACTTTGTGTTCAAGTGGAATCCTCTTTCGACGATATGTTGCACCGACAACTGAAATACTGTTACTTGTTGTAAGGAAATAATTTTCGAGAAAATATTATTATTCGTAAATTAAATAAAGAAGCAAATTCAAATAAATACAAAACAGTAAAAATATTAAACATGTGGAGAGTTGTAGAAAAAATAAAATGTAATATTAATATATCGATCGATAGATAAAGGTATATATTAAAATAGAATTTTCGGAGAAATCCTCATTAAAATAAGTACGTGCAATATTTAAATAATAGTTATTTGTTTTTTCACGCTACAAAATTCTCAGAACAGGATTTCATATACAAAATAGGTTTTAGACCAAAGTATTTCAGTCTGAGTTTTCACCAGCATGCAAACAATGTCAAAAATCGCATAATTATCAATTTTTAAGACATCCTAGAGAGAAACAAAGCTCACTTAAAAGGATTTTCCTTTTACGTTAGAGTAAAAATTAGTCTCTTTTTTTTGTAATGTTTGTTTTAAAATAAAAAATTGTATGAATTCAATAACCTTGAGTAAAGAAAATATCAGATTGATCCGTTCATTGAAATCAGATCAAATGAATTTTTTATATTAAAATAAATTATATTGTATGTTGAACGTTTATTTATTAACTCATATTTAAGTGCTGATATAAGAATTTCAATGCTGATAGCAGAATACAGATTTTTAAATTTGATTAAATTATAAATTGGAGAATCGAGTGCCTGTATTTCATCTACTGCTACGAGAGCAAAATAAACTCAAATTAAACATGTTGTTATCTTTGATCTTAATACAAAATTATTCTTACATAAATAACATTGTTGTTACTTATAGTTAGTTCTTAGTTACTTACCTACAGCCTAACGATTAATTAATATCAGAAGAACTTTCAATTCATCTTTGAAACGGCACACATATTAGCTTTCGAAATTCGCATGAGAAAATTAATATTTCCATTAAATTTGCTATACGCAATGCACTAATTGAAATTTTTTATAAAAATACCAAAGCGCTGATTTTTTTCTATTACTTCCTTGTATGAAGTAAAGGAAGTATTGTAATCACAAAAAATGCCGAGTACCATATTTCAAAGAATATCAATTTTGACCGCTCTCAAATCCAATTTAACGATGCTTTCGTGTGACATCTGTACGTAAGGACAGAATAAAGGACTTTTTATCCCCAAACGGATTGTAAAATGGATTCAGAAGAGATTTTTTCGTGACGTCTGTGCGTACGTATGTATTTATCTCCCAAAACTGAAAAACGAATGGAATCTCAGAACATTGAAATTTCGTATATGGGACTGCTATAACATATAGTTGTGCACCTCTCTTTTTGGTTTTGATCGATCGCACAAAGCATATATACTAAATCTATAGATACATATGTATATACCCACCATGTTACCTCGTTCGGTGAGCTCAGTATTTTTTTTCTCATATACTGGTAAAATGGGCATTTTTTTATTTAAATCTTTTTTACTTACTTTTTTTTTAACTGATGTGATTGAATTATGCTGTTCTTGTATTTCAGGTAAGATTTTTATGTTTTTAGTGAATCTGCATGTAATACTTGTAGAATTATCAACAATTTAAAAGTTGTTAAAGCCTAACGAACTAAGCCTAACGAAGCCACCATTTGTTTTTATTTGAAACTCCTATCAGAATAGAGAATTAAATCAGTTTCTGCACCAACTTCAGCGTCTCTTTTGCCGAACGGGACAAAAAGTAAACTTTCGATTGGGTGCACCGAAAAACCTGTCTTCCTGCACGCTGTCCGAATTGCCCCCCCTCCCTTTTTTTGCGTTGAAACTCTAATTTTTATTCTGAAATTTGTTTTTCAACTCTTTTAACTGTATTTGGTGTTTTATGTTTCTCTGCATTTTACAACTTTTAAGATATTTTGAAATTTTATGAATTTTTGCCATGCGGCGAAGTGAAAATTTAAATGAAATGCAGCAAAAAATGTGTATAATTTAATACACGTACAAGGAAGTCATATGGTATCCACATCAGATTTCTTAGTACAGATATGGCAGCAGGTTTATCGCGAAGCAAATTTCCGCGATAATTTTTGTGAATATAAGGGAATTGAATAAGAGTTAATAAACATAAATTTCTTCTATGACTATCGAATAAATCTGCGAATTTCGAATTTTTTCCTATTTTTAAAATTTCTATTAAAGTTGAAACCCCCTATAACGACCTTCAAGGGACTGGAAGTTAGATTTGTTACATCGATCCGGTAACCAAAATTGGTTATCTCACAAATGTGTGTAAAATCTGAATGATAAGTCTTGCAGAATTTTTTCGATGTCAGAATACTGAAGAAATTTGCAGTGCACTTGCCAGGATCTGAACTCCTGAACCCCCGAACCCGTATCAAGAGTACTTCCAGTCACACATGCGAAAGCATGCGGAAAGGAGGAAGAAAACACCTTATATACTCCCTTTTTTAAAGGACGACTGGAGATGAGGGGCCCAATTTGCCAAATCCTGTTGGTGAAGAATCATCATCCGCCACCTTTTTTTAATTCGGGGATCACTTGTAGAATCTTTTAAAATATTTCGATGTCAGGAACCAGAAGAAATCCTCAACTGTCCTCGCTGAGATCCGAACTTCCGATCTTCCAAATACCCTTCGTTTAGGCTTTCCAAACACCCTTCGTTTTTGCTTTTTCCTATCCTCTACCTTTCTTAGGCAAACTTTTTTTCCATGCGCAGAAATTACAAATTTCTGATTTTTTCATATGCTACCAACTGTAGATAAGGATAAACTGAATTTCTGACAGATATCGATTTGTCTGCATTCATTTCATACTTCTCCAATAATGTTCCTTTTATCTTCAATACAAAAATATTACGTGCACAGATGAATTTTTGTCACACCACAAGGGCATGCAGAAAAGAGGGAAACATATCTTATAGATGTATGAAGAAAACAATTGGTTAACACACTGTTATTTCTACCAAAAGAAGTGAATAATAAGTCTAATTTTTAAAAAAGCATATTGAGATTTAATTGCAGTTATTATTAGGCCCAGTGATTCAATTCGTAGTTCGTTCTGAGTCAGTCTGCCAAAGTGTCTGGCAAAATCCTTCGCCATTATCTGAAGCATCTGTCCAGATAGCGGCAGATTATGTCGTCTTTGAATAGCGAAACATTTCAGCAATGCTTCTTTATCCCCCTATCCTCTACCTTTCTTAGGCAAACTTTTTTTCCATGCGCAGAAATTACAAATTTCTGATTTTTTCATATGCTACCAACTGTAGATAAGGATAAACTGAATTTCTGACAGATATCGATTTGTCTGCATTCATTTCATACTTCTCCAATAATGTTCCTTTTATCTTCAATACAAAAATATTACGTGCACAGATGAATTTTTGACACAGAAACAAAGTACAGAGAGTTTAGGCAAAGAGTATGTAACAGTTTTGTTCTTCTGGAATGAAGAAAAAGAAGACAATTTCATCACCTATGTGTTTTATCGAATGTCCAGAAACAACACAGCCATTTCCACCAAGATATGTATAGCTGCAACACAGATCTTCAGTAATCTTGTAGAGCCATTAGATTTTTTTTTATTCTAGAAACGTGAAAATGTGTAATGCCCTCACCGAGACTCGAACCTGCGATCTCTCGAATACGCGCCGAGTGTGGTACTGTTACACTACAAAGACATGCTGGAAGGAGGGAGAAAATACATTACATACTCCCCCTTTTAAAGGGAGACTTCGAATTAGGGGATCCAATCGCCAAATCCTGGTGGTGATGAGTTTTGATCCACCACCTTTTAGTTTGGGCGCCACTGTAGAGTCATTTAGAAATTTTTTTCGAAGTCAAGAAACTGAAGCAATCTGCAATGCTTATTTGAAATATCTAAAGAACTAAAGAAAGTAAATCCTCTATTCGGAAGATTGAACTTGGAAAGCACTTATACTCAAGCAAAGCAAATCGATAAGGATAAAAAAAAATTCATTCCCTAAAATAAGAATCAACTGTAAAGCAATAAGTTCATACAATTCATTACTTTCTCTTTCCCTGAAGATAAAAATTTCAAAATTTCTATCATAGCATCAACATTGAAATATGGTGTCCTAAGCTATGCTTATTGTATCCTCGTTCTCCTAAAGTTTCATATCTCACCTTTCTGGCATTGCCTTTGTGAGAACGCAGAGAAAAATGGAGATGTAAATAAAAAACTAACATGAAAGTGTTCTCCTTTACGAATGGTATGTGGATAGAAAATAAATCCAAATATTTTAAACATTCATGATTTCAAGGGTTAGTAGTTCATTTAAAACTCTCGAAATGTCTGGAAATTTTTTTTAAATATTTTAATCGTAAATATCCATAAAGTTCGTTATATCCGATTTCTGTATTATTGGAGGTTCGCTATATAAGTTCGAAGTTTATAGGAAACTGATGGACCAAACGATTTTTTTTGGAAACGTTTGTAATATTCGGAAGCTCATTATAAGCCGCGTTCGTTATAGCAGTGTTGACCATACTGAATTCTGATTACACCTAACATAAATTATGTTTTACATTTAAATATTCTAAAATAATCTTAATCATATTCTAAAATCCAAACCAGAATTTTAAGCTAGAAATTAGCCTCAGTGTTTGAAAACATCGTTTACAAAGTAAAAAAGTCCTCTTCTGCCGCCTAGCAATCTGAAAAATAATTTCGATTACAAATGATTGT